AAGAAATGTTATTTTCAAGTCCCTATCCCAGAATATAATCACTGCATTTGTAAAAACTTATTTATCATTTAGCCCTATTAGTTCTCAACTTCCCAGTTCTCTGTGCTAAGAGGACCAGAAGAGAAATACTAGGCTGAGTCTGAGTTGCATTACTAGAACTTGGCAAGGAAATGTGCATAATCTCCCTGAGATGTGCCTGGTTTTGTGAGACCACGTCTACGCTGGGACACTCGGGAGAGCTGGAAGAAAGACCTCATATGGAACATGATGTCAGGATGCATAAACTGAAGTGTACAGAAGCTGGTTTAGCTGCTGTCTCGTGGGAGTAAGGTAAACTTCATTCTCTATGATGTTCTGGGAATACACTACAGTGAATAAAAAGAAACATCCAGATGGGATTTAATATGGACTTCACGCCTTTGATTGAATAGGCTTGGAATTCATGAAATGTCCCTGAACAAGCACAACCTAATTACTCATTTCTTTGAGCAACAAAGTTGCCTTAACAGAACTTTAAAAAATACAGATAATTAGCAATATTTCTAAATGCATGATTTTCAAAAGTACTGTAAAAGGCATTTCTGTGGTCATGTATAAAATGCTACAAAAAAAAGTTTGAACACAGGAATACGAAAGTGCCTTGAAATGGAAGAAAAAAATATACAATTTGGACATTTATACTTCATTCTCTTTTTATTTTCCTAAGTATTGCAGGATCACTTCTCTGTGCATGTGATCTCACACATATAATGCATATTGCAATACCTCACGAAAAGAGGAGACTGAACTAAGAATAGAGGACTAGATACTCATCTGGCATAATGTGAGACCACTCCAGTAATTTCAGCATTCCTACTCCAATTTGCAACAGCTAAGGATCTGGCACAAAACATCAAGTTAAGTTTCCAATTACCTCATGCACCAGCATTGATTTCAATACTTATATACACATAGTCATAGAGGAGAATTATTTGAAAAATTGCAAACTCAGCTCTGTGTTTCTTTTACTTTTATGGTCTAAATCAGACCCTTCATGGTATTTTAATGTAGGTTTTTGTGGTTTAATTATATATATGTCAAGAGCAGACTAGTTACGCTGATCTACCCAATTAAAAAAAAAAAAAGGCAGCAGTAATTTTTTCACTGCTGAGAATGTAAGCATAAACTGGGTCACAACACAATAGTATTTCATTTTAATGCTGACAAAAAATCTAGTGCATATTAACTAAATCACATAAGTAATAAGTTAACACCTATGCAAAAATCAGTCTTTGTGTAAATATCAGGTTGCCTTCGGAGGTCTTTTTTGTAATTTTCTGCTCCAAATTAGTCAAATTTTGTATAGCCCAGCACAACCCTAGTGCAAAGAGAGTATTCAGTCAGCCGAGGCAGACTGAGTTCTTCAGAGACAGCATTTAAATTACATCCAACAGAACTGCCCTCCACTGCAGTTCTACAGATAGCTGCTCAATGAAAAATCACTGTAATAGTATTTATTTAGTTCTAGGAAAAAGCCATAGACATTAATTTATGCATAGAAATCCTCCAAATTACTTCTTTTCAAATCCATGGTAATTGCAGCCTAACTCAAACTTTAGTGTCTACTACCCAAGCCTAACAGCCTAAAACCGAAAAAGTCTCTGTGGCTTATGGAGTGAGAGGCTCTGAAGATAATCACTAGCCATTATAATATTCCCTTGGAGAAATAAGGAAATTTTTAACAAATTGAAAATACAATGCTTAAACTTTAGTATTCCTCAGACAGCCATTAGCATTTGACATTTTGCTCCAAAGCCTAATGACTAGCCTATACAATCCTGTGACTGAGACTGCCCAGTGATACATTTCAATATAGGATAATCAATCATCAAAGTAATTTTCACTGTTTAACATTAGAGCAAAAAGGCAGCCAGCTATTCGACACATTTTTCAGGCTTAGAGATAAAAAGAAGAAAATTCTTTAAAATAGCTTTTGCCTTTAAGGTCCTATATTACAGGCATCCCAAAAGCAATCCTTCTGGCAGCATTGCAAACTACAATGTAGACTAAAAATGTGAGTTTTACTGCCTTTTCAAATAGATTTTATTATTTATTTGACATATGAGCACTCTTCTTATCTGAGCTTTTGCATTGCAAATTGCGTCCAAGTTCCTTTAACCACTTCTGATTTAATGACAGATTTAATAACACTGCAACACAGAAGTATGGAATTGGCCAAAAATTATTTCATAAAAATCTGATTTCTGTACAGCAACGTCAAAAATGTCACCTAATACATACAAGTAAATCAGAAGTTTTTAATGTATATTGTAAAGCCTGAGTCTTTGATAGGTAAAACATCTACTGACTTTAAAAGACCATAATTTATTTTTAATAACCATTTTTATTTAATTTTTCAAAGAGAAGCAGTTTATGCCTTCAGTAGAACCATGCCCTGAAATCTCAGGGGTGATAAAAAGGCCATGCCAAAGCTGAAAGGTTTCGAATATCAAACTATACTATTATGTCAGGGTCAGCAAGATCAATTAGCGCTTTTCAATGACAGAAAAAGGTTAAGTTGGACACACATTTACACAATATTTAAATCCAAAAAAGAAAAATAGCACTTATTAGGTATACTTATAAACCTCTCCATCAATGACTGAATATCAACATTCTTCTTCCAGTCGCATACCATAAATGCAGGGATTTTTTAACACAAAATGTCAGGAAGATTACAGATATATTAGACAGCAGAAATACTACTGGATTCTCAAGTACAAAGAAAAAAGCAAAGACATCTGAGTGTTGCTGCTACCAGACTTGGTTTAGTGGTGAACTTCCAAAAAGCTTTAAAAATACTCCACCAACCTGACATATGTCTGTCAGTCTGATGTCCCTGTGTTTGCATCTTTCTGTAAACCCTGACAGTACCAAAAAAGAAAGCTATTGAGCAAATAAACCTATTCCTGTGCTCAACTAAAAAACAAACCTAACCCCACCCCCCAATTGGAAAATACTGTAAATAATCTGTAAATACTGTAAATAGTCTCATCCAAAATCTGGGAAAAAAACCAAGTGTACACCTTCTGCAACTAACAGCCAGAAACATGCACACCAGGAAGCAAGGAAACTTACGTTTCAGTTCTCAGTATCACAAGAATACTCACTGGAAGCACAGGTATGTTAGAAGTTAATTTGACACCTGTTAATTCAAACATTGCCATCATAAACATAGCTTGAGCAAAGTAGCTGGTTATGATATTAAATAAAGCCAGCATAAAATCACAATAAAAATCCAGGAGATGAAGAAAACCTAACGAAAAAGTACGCTGTGTTGAAATCACTGATTTAGATTGGTATTGCATTGAGTAAAAGCAATGCAAGATTACTTCTTCTCAACGATATATTTTAAAATGTCTCTTTTTTAAGCCCGTTTCTTTAAGGAGCGATTTGAAATATTTACTACCAGACAGTACCTAATTTTAGGTTTTAAGTGCTTTAACAGCTCTATGAAATATGATCAGCAGCTGCAATATAGAAGTATGCTGAATAAACGCTCCTTATAAAAAGGGAGACCTGCGTTACCCTGAGTTAATAAAATCCCTACTTTCAAGAAGGAAAAAGATAACACAGAAAAAAATGAATAGCTGTGTCCCAGAGCGTTTAACAGAAATTCCAGGAATTTATTTTTTTCTTTCTGTGGTAACTTTCGTATTTAAGAGAGCAAAATGCTGTTTAAATTTTAACAAGAGAGGATTGCACACAACATCATCCAATACCACCAGTTCATCAAGGAAACAGACAGGTACCTTTCATTCCCTAAATGCCAATATTTAACATTAATTCTAGGACTTGCATAAAGTTTAAAGAGTTGCATAAAGTTTAAAGAGTTAAACTTTAACACTTGCATCAGATGCTAAAAATATGCCACATGATACTATCTATAGCTGTATTTCTACAGTTGCCTTGTTTGAAATACTTTAACTGGGAACTGCAACTAATTGAGAACCCACCAGTGCCTTACTCAATACATTGCTTGTTTAGGATTCATTTATTTCATCGACATTACCCATACAGAATGAATTTATACTGCAAAGTATTGTGAGGCCATTAATAAATACAAATCCATCAAGAGTAACCTTCAACTAAATTTATTATCAGTACCACCATACACATGTAACAATTAATAACTGCATACAAATTATCTGAGCAGAGATACAGAAAAGATTTGTCAACATACTCCACTTTCATTTCTATTAAATTTGGTTGAAGGACATTTGGTAACATAAATACCGCACTTAAAAAAAAAAAAAAAAAAAAACCAACTCAAAAAGAGCTGTTTCAGACATAGCCCAGCTAATGTTAGATGTCAAACAGAGAAAGAATCACCTGGAAGAGAGAGAAATTTAAGTCTGCATGGAAATTTTACTCACAGTATGATATATATTGCAAGTATGCAAGCATTTGTTATTCGGCAGCATTTTCAGAAATGCCAGGGGAAGAGTGAAACCCACGGCAATTTTGCGAAACTTACTTCTGACTGTTAGGGAAATGAAACAAAGATACGGCCTGAGCTTTATTGCAAAGTACATGCTTCTAACATCAAACTCCGAGGTCAGACCAGAAAACCTATTTGCCAAACAGAAAAGATGCCTTCTTTGTATAACTCCCTCTAAATCTAAACTGCTGATTAGTTTACCTTAGATACGCTTTCTAGTCTCCGCAAATGAAACACGTAAAACAAAACTCAGAAAACTGTAAAAACTGGTTCCTTACTGTTCTAGCATGACTTCATACTCAAACTGGAACCGGCCAAGTCGCTCCCTTGTCTGCTACAGCGCGCGTCCCAGGGTTTTTGTCAATACCAGCTATTTCACACCGCCACGCGTGAGCCCAGCGCGTCCCTCCGTGCGCTCGGCTGCAAGCCCTGCCCGCGGCTACGGAGCCGGCAGCAGCGCGCCTGCTTGGCTCGGAGCGGCAGTTTCATAAATGTAAATGAAACTTTAGATGCCAACTACCGATTGGCAGCGGAGATGCCGTGGGATCCCGCTCTCCCTTCCCGACGGAAGGCGCCGCGGGGCTGCTCCCCGTGCAGCCCCGTGTCCGGCCGGGCACGGCGCGGAGCCCCCGCGGCTCGGGAGAACCGCCGTGTGAAAGGCAGCTGGCGGCTCTCCGCGGGTATCTGACTTTGGAAGTGTCTGTAATGACAGCAGGAGAAGGAGATTAATGGCCCAATGGTTTTGAACACGGAGAATCCTGTTACCTCCTCGAGGATCAAGTACGCGCACACACCCGCGCGCACACACACACACACGAACACACAAGGCTTACCCACGTGGAAACGCTTTCTAACCAAAACACAAGTCTCCGCATCGCCGGTGGAAAAGGCGGCGGGACCCCCGCGCCGGGGCTTCCCCGTGCCCCGTCCTCCGGCTCAGAGGAGACCGCGGCGGGGGCGGGGGCGCGGTGGGACGACCCGAAAATGCAACGTTTTGTCTTTAAACCGCAAGAAAAACAAGACAGGACGGGGGAGGGGAAGGGCAAGAGACATCCCCCAGGGAGAGGAAACGGAGAGGAACAAAAACAACGGGCAGCGCTGTCCCCGGTCCCTTCGGACACTCGAAAAAGTGTCCGCCGGAGCCCCCGCGATGGCTGCCGGCCGGGAGGCAGGGGGAAGCAGCGTGTCCCGTCCGCCGGCACCCCGAGCGCGGCACGCCCGCAGCGCTCCGCCCCGGGGCAGGCGGGCAGCGGAGACCCCCGAGCGCTGCCGGCGCCGGGCAGCGCGGGGCGGGGGCGGGCGGCGGAACCCCGCGACTCCCCGCGTCCCGGCCGGGCTGCCTCGCCCCCGCGCTGCCCGGGCCCTCGCTGGAGGAGCGGGGCTTTCGGGAAGGGACTGCCATCCCTACGCGTTTTCATGCCGCTCTGTCCGAAGGGGACGCCGCCACCAGAAATGTTTCCTCACAGCCTCCGGTCAAGCTGCTGCTGGCCCCGCCGTCGGCCCTCGCAAGGGCAGGCGGTCGGCAGAGCGACTGGCGGCCGGCAGAGCCCTGTCGCCCACCCCATGCGGGCCGGCAGCCCCCGGCCGCTCGTGGGGCTCAGCCCGGGCCCCCCGTTTCCGCCGCACCGGGAGTGGGCGGGAGGCGCAAGCGGGAACAATGCGACGGCAGCCTTCGCGGCTTGCTCCTGTCTTGGGGCTTACCCCAGCAGCCCCGGTAGCACCCTGCCGAAGAGCGGTGAGGGCAAAACAGCGGGGAACATCACCTGGAGTGAGGCAGAAAGTCCGGCTGGGCGTGGATAAAGTCGCCCCGTCCGCACGGAAAACCAGTTTGGTTTTTTGCAATTAAACTCGCGTGGGGCCGGTGTAAAAGCTTGTCTCCGTCCCGCGACGGACGGCTCCGCTGCTCCCTCCCATCACATTTGTTTTACAGCAACTTTGTTTTTGTTGTTGCTGTTGCTGTCATCGAACCGACATGAAAACAGTGCTAAATAAACGCTAAATACAAGCAGACGCACACACCCCCTCCACGGACACATGCACATGCGACAGGGAACCCGTTTCCTCCACCTCCGAGCAGAAGGGGTGGGAGGGAGATGCGGGGACGGGGAAGTCACAGGCACTCACCTTCTAGCTGCCGGGATATGCTGCTACCTTTATTTTAGGGCCGCTCCTTATTTATTTATTCTTGTATCTTCTCCGAGCCGAGGCTCCCCTTTTGCACTGTTCCTCTGGCCAAAACAGAACATCCCCCCTACAAGTCGTCCCCCCCCACCCCTTTCTCCACACACAAATAAAGAGCAACTCAGAGCAAAACGGGAGGCGAAATTCGGGACGGGAGGGGGGGGGGGGGGGGGGGGGGTGGATAGATGGAGGAGGAGGCTGGTACGGGAGAAGCCAAACACTCCTCGCACTTCAGTAAGTGCAACTAGTTGCCTCTCACGCACAGGAACGTAAAAAGTTTCCCTGGCAAGGGACGGGACTTCCCTAAGAAAAGGTAACCCCCTCCCGCCCTCCCGCCCAAAAAGGCCGTCCCGGGAGCGCGGAGGTAAGGGGCGAGGAGCCGGCAGCCAGCGCAGCCCCGGGGCGCCGCTCCGCACTTGTGCCGGGAGCTGCCGCAGGGGTGCTCCCTGTGCCGGCCCCTCTCGGCACGGCAGCCCCGCTGCCCACCGCCGCTGCCCCGCTCAGCCCCGCTGCCCCGCTCAGCCCCGCTGCCCCGCTCAGCCCGCCGCCGCTGCCCTGCCCCGCGCTCGGAACACCGCGGCGGGCACGGACCGCCGGCTGACCCGGCCGCCAGACTATTCCAAAGTGTCCCTCCCGCGGTCCTCGGCCTCACAGCCCGGGGCCTGGACCTTTTGCCTTCACTACTCCCTGACATCTGCAGTTAGTAGTGATGGGAGCAAAGGAGGGGGCCCTGAAGGGTAGGATTGATTAATGTCAATCCGCTGGAGTACAGGTAGTGAAGTCTGCACTTCATTTCTTCCCTTTGTCTTTTTTTTTTTCTAGAAGAAGCCAACACTATAATCTTGAGTTTGAATGATCAAGTATGATCAAGTGCTGCAAGACAGGACTGGTTGGCATACCCTTTTATAGGATACATTTGTCTCCTTTCTCTCAGTGTGGATGAAGGCAAAGTCCTTTCCTGCTCTGAAACTGAATACTCTTCTCTGCAAGAAATTCAGCAGCTGCATTTGGTCCTCTTTGCTCCATTGTGTGGGGAAGCGGAAGAAAATCCCTAATTGCTTAGTCACATTTCATACTCTTACCCTTCACCTTGTATTATCTTCTGACTATAGTTTCACTGAGTGGATTGAGTGGCTCTTGTTCAACCAGCTGCATCACCCTCTTTCTGTCAAGTTAACTTCACTCTCCAAAGGGTCTAAGTAAAAGATTTAAAAGAGGAGGCAAAAGTTAGGCCCTATACTTGGAGAGAGATGTGAGAGAAAAGTCTTGGGCTTCAGAAGTCATGAATGTTAGAAGCTTTTGAGGTCAGCAAGTCACCTGAAAGGAGGGGGGAAAAAAGTATGGATTTGAGAAAATTCTTTCCTACCTGCCTTCTCTTTTCTCACTTTGCATTTGGTGATACTATTTAGAGCTATTTAACTTTACTCAAGCCTATGAATTTCATAATTTTCGTTCAATGAATTCTACTAATATGGTCATCTTTTTCCTAAAGAATTTCAGATTTCAGATGACTGAATCTTCATGAGAACAAGTCTGTAAAAACCCTGTATTTGCTGTCTTGGGAGACTCGCCACTCAGAAAGAGAGCAGACTTGGAAAACTTTTTACCTACACAAATACAGCTAGAAAAACTTTTAAACTAAATAAGCATCCAAAAGCCAGCCTTCAAATTGACATAGTGTAGGACCAGGCAGAAATAGGAAATTAATTTTGAAAATAAGAGTTTAGAGAGTAGTTGGAAGGGGAGAAAACTCAGATTTGTAGGAATAATTATGATTGACAACCCTGCCATAAACTAAGTTGTGACTAATGCCAGCACCCATCTTGTTAAAAGCCTCCTTCTGTGGGGAAACATGCTAACAACTCCTTCCTTTCCAGGGGACTTTGGTGAGTGGCAGCTTGGTGGTCTGTTGTGAGGTACTCGAACATGGTAATGAAGGTTTTGTGAAGTCTGGTTTCCTTCCACTTCAATGAAGAGAATTCCTGTTGTGGGTAACAGTCCTGTAGTAACATTGGTTGTTTCAATGGACATATCACTTTAAAGCAAGCTCTTAGCCATTTGTTGCGCTCTTTTTAAAATGTACAGCTGACTTGAAAAGATTATCTGTATCTTTGTTCAGTGTAACTTGCTTCAAATTGAGGAGGTGTGGGAGGTCTGCACTGCTGGTACATGGTATGGTCCCAAGACAAAACTCCCAGTAAGGAGCCTGGTCTTGATGCCATTGAACCATGCTGCTGGTTTGCTGTTGGTTTTGGTGAGGGCGAGAAGAGTCACGCTGAAACTGAGCGTCACACGTACTGAAGGGATTCCTACAGAAACTGATCTGATAATCAGACAATTTTTTTGCAGAGTTTTATTACAAATATGACTCACAGGCAGTAATTAAATGGTGATTTTGGTTTAATCAATGTCCTTAAGCTGAAGTAAATTCCCATGAGCTCAGTGGAAGTGATTTCAGAAAGTGGCAAATCCAAAATGTAGTAAAATGCATTGGTTCACATAAATGACTCTGTATGACCATAGAGAAGGTCATGCTAGAAATAGTCCTAACAGAGCCCAAGGAAGGGCTGCAGGATCCACTTTTACACCAGAATAGAAGAATAATGCCTTGTCCATTTAAAGCAACATGGGAATGTAAGTAGGCAGAATGTAATTATCTAGACTGGTATTTGGCCAGGCGCTCCTACACTGGCAAAGAGTGCCATAGGGTGTTTAATGCCCACAAGTGCTCAGTATCCTTGGTTTTACCTCTTAATTAAAGACAGCACTTGTGATCATATTCTTTCTGCTGGTTCAATACTGCGTCAGCAGAAGAATGCCACGCTGCACAAATACCATTTCATAGAGTAACCTGGAATTTCCTTGGAAGTCTTCCATGCAAATACTACAGACCCAACCCTACCTACCTTGTGTAATCTAGTGAGGTTAGAGCCATAAGCAGTGTGGCTCCAGAGAATCATGTTTGCATATGTTGCTAAAAACAATGTGGGTTTGGAATATTAATAAATAGTTTTAAAATTAAACCAATATTCTTTTGCATTGCATCTCAGTGACAACAAGGTTGTGTTGCTGTTTAAGCAAAGGGATTTTGGTAAAGTTATTGTGAGAAAAGCTAATGACAGACAGCCACTATTTTGGCAATGGATCATTATTATGATTTATTTAAGTGCCTACCCATGTCCTACATCCAGATGAGGTACCTGTTGCAAATTTTGTTTTGCAAAAGCAGGGCTTTCAAATATGGTTTCTTATTTTCAGGTTCAAGTATGAAATCCAAAAGCATGTTAATTAGGCAAAGAGTGTTGATCTATATACTTAAGGTGCTTCATGGCTTTATAGTCATAAAAAGAAGGAATGAATGGGGGTTCTTTTGACCTGGTTATCAGATTTCAGGTTTAAAAAGAAGGTGACCCACCCTTTTCAGTAATTCGACATGCAGGGTTCAGCTGTGGGTTCAAAAACAGGTTATAACTGGCTAGTCATTGTGATCTTGAAATGCCAACTGTGCCTTTAAGTATGTTATATAACCTATTTTTTGGTTTCAGTTTTCAAGTATGCCATCATTTCAGTGTTACTTAGATTTTCATATATTTTTTAATCCAAACAAATCTGACCTCAATCATAAGGTTCCATGGCTCCAAATAGCTGAGCTTTTCTAATATTTTATTTTGAGTGCCTACGTTCAATACTTCATCACAGAGATATGTGCTGCAGACAGTGCCAAATACGGTGCCAGGGATGTCCTCAATTATCTTCAGTGCTTACCAGGAGAGGGCTCTGTTCTGCACACCGTTCTCAGACAAAGGCCCCACTGAAATGAGTTCAAGTTTTGTCTCTAAAGCTTGCTTCAAAGGAAGCTGGCTAAGTGCGAAGAAAAATCTGCATTGTTTCAGCTGCCTGTGCAGGCAGAATGAGGTGTGCTTGATAATCTTAATTTGTATCCTGCCATTTCACCAGGATCTTTTTTTCTTTCCTGGGAGACAGCCACTCTGCTTCCTCCAATATACCTTTCCATCATGTTTCATGGAAGTTTCATGAAGATTCACATAAGTAATCTATGGAGCTGATCCAGGGAAAATGTTGGCCATATGCTTTTGTTTGATGATCCATGTGTTCCCTGGTCATTTTGGGACACAAAACCTGTGTCTGCGCTGCTCAGGGCTAGCACATGGATCTGTTAGCTTTCTTCTTGTCACAGTTTTGTTCTCACCAGTTAGTATTCTCCTAAAAAAAGCTGTGGTCCAGTTCAGATTGTGGTGTGAGTCGAGGACCATTCCTGGTTCTATGTCTAGTCCAGGCATCCATCCTATGCTAGAGAATGAGAAAGCTGATAATGAGAATTTTGGCCTTACAGAAACACTGCTCTGACAGATGGTCTTAGGTCAGGAGAGCAATCTTCAGAAAATTTCCTTGTGCAGATGTAGCCTGAAAGTCACTCTCAGATGTGTTCCAGAGACAACATCGGGTCAGGTTGTTGGGGAGGCAGAAGAAATGTCAGGGCTGGCATTACCTCACCTCCAGAGCCTCTGGCACAGTGGGAGGACTGAGGGTGTGCCCTACATCCATCCGTGTTTATTCTGGCTGTAGAAACTTGTTTCAGATTTCATTTCATTACAAATAAAATGAAGAGCAATCCTTGGATGATTTATAAAAATGTGAACATTTTAAGCTGTACCATTAAATGTTTATGCTGCTGCTTAGTGTAATTCCCTTGAATTTGTTTTTTTAATCAGTTTTATGTTAGATGTACTTTCTTCACTTCTGATCACTTCTAGGAATTTCCACCATCTTTTAAAACTTCTCCCTGGTTATTTTTATCCGTTTACAAGATTCTTCAATGGAATAACTCTGAGATAGCCACCATAATATTACTAAAAATCTATTTAAAGCAGCTTCAAAATCTGTGAGATTTAAAACTTGGCATTTTGAAAATGGTTTTTGATTACAGTTATAGGTAGCATAACCAGAGACTTCATTTTACTGTCATTGATCAGAAATGGTCTGGGTAAGTCAGTATTTGTGTGTGTTAGTCAACTTTCAGGCATGTTGAGGTTTCCAGTGAAACCAATAGCAAAGCATTCATCAGTGTCCTTGTC